AAGGAGGGGAGATAAAGACGATAGATGTTTGATAGGAAAGAAGGAGGGGAGATAAACACGATAGATGTTTGATAGGAAGGAAGGAGGGGAGATAAACACGATAGATGTTTGATAGGAAGGAAGGAGGGGAGATAAACACGATAGATGTTTGATAGGAAAGAAGAAGCAAACCACACAAGAGCACCCGCCAATCACCCACATATGAAAAAAAGGAGTGCGACACATTCATTGGTTCAGTAAAACCCTAAGAAAACTGAAATATGACTCACATATTTAGTATCGTAGAAACTAAACTACACAACTGACGAAAATGGGAACAAATCTTCCATCTTTTGGCAAAGAGAAAACAAAAATATGACTTGCAAATTTAGAATTGTTGAAGGTATACTACAATACATGAACAAATAGGAAAGCACATCTCAGAGATGGGGATTGGGTATAGCAGAAGAAACATGAGCAAACATTTAAAAAATATACATAACTCATTTGGAACTGTAGAAACATAAGAAAATAGAAAGTATACTACAATGCATGCGGAAAAGGGAACATACATCTTTTTTTTTTTTTTAGTAGAGGGTTTTACGGCACTCGCAACTGCATAAGGTCATATGAGCGCCAAGGGGTGGGTGTCAACAGAGATGTCCTAACAGGGAATCAGGCTTACTCTGCTCACCTCTCTAGCTTCAACAGCACAAGGTCTGCTTCGACTATCAAGGCACCCCGGAAATAGCATGTCACAAGAGAGTGACAAACATACAAAAGAAGTAGAGCAAAATGACAATAGTAAGGATTAGGAAAGAAAAAGCAGCAGTTCCCTGTTGTAGATCGGGCACAGTAATGAGCGTGACATGAATCAGCCCATTTACAATTCTACTATGCTTGAACGAGAAATATCCCCCCTTTGGGAATGGCCTAAAGACACTACAGTCAGTGGCACTGCCCCGGGGGGTAAAAGACACCACAGTCAGTGGCACTGCCCTGGGGGGTATTTAGTTGTTAGCAAGTGTTCTTTTTTAGTAAGAGTTTTAAGGCACCTGCAACACAAAAAGGCCATATAAGTGCCGAAGATTAGAGGTGTCACTAGACAGTAACATACACACACACACACACACAAACAAACAAACAAATTTTTAATGGAGGAGCAGGAAAGATGGGGACAATAGATATTTGATAGGAAAGAAGGAGCAAACCCCACCAGAGCCCCCGCCAACCACCCACTAACTCACTTGGCAGAAGAACCCCGACTAAATGGAAATTATTCGAAATTAACAAAATTGTATAGGCTTAGAGCCCATTACAACACTGTACTGTAAGATTATTTCAGCCAAGCCGTGGGAGCCTTTCAATCGACTTCCATCTCAGGACAGGGCCGAGCCAAAAAGGACAATTCATATCAAGAGCTTTTCTTAAGGACATTACATCAGACAGAGCGGAGCCTCAAACCCACAAACCCCCAGTCTCACATTTACGAGACCAGTAGCCAACCCACTTTACATACCACCAATGCCATGAGATATGACTCACTCTTGAACTTGACTTGATATAGTAGAGGTATTACTACAATAGAAGACCAAACACAAAAATACGCCCAAATATTGTTTAGTTTTAGTACACCAGAGGTTTTACGGCGCTCACAACTGCATAAGGTCATATGAACGCCAGAAGATTAGAGGTGTTACAAGAGAGTAATAAACAAAAAAGAAGAAGGGGAAATAGGGAAGATATATATTTCATAGGAAAGAAGAAGTAAACCACACCAGACCACTCGCCAACCACTCACAGACAAGGTATAGCAGAAACAAGAGACTGCATCGGAACATTCAGCAGGAGAAGCACATAACATGACAACATTCGTGTTGTGGAGAGCAAGATACACAGATTAACACAAAAGAAAGAGAGAAAAGAAGATGTAGGACCCACCAGTGGAACCCTCCAACCAACCATCCATAATTTAAAAGAGGAACTGGGGGGGGAGGGAGGGGGGAGGGGGGCAACAAACAAACATTTAGTTTAATAAAACAGTTCAAAACATGCATCAAGAAACAGAAGGTGACAAATATCAAAGCAAAAGATTTTATGGGAAAAAAAGTACAATGGAGTGTCCCAAACAGAGCAACTCCAAGCTTAAGATAGAGGGTGGCAAAGACAACATTCAGAACATCTTCATAAATTTACAGCAATATCTGAGAACCTTCAAACAATTACAGCAATACTTCAGAACCTTCAAACAATTACAGCAATACTTCAGAACCTTCAAACAATTACAGCAATATCTGAGAACCTTCAAACAATTACAGCAATATCTGAGAACCTTCAAACAATTACAGCAATACTTCAGAACCTTCAAACAATTACAGCAATATCTGAGAACCTTCAAACAATTACAGCAATACTTCAGAACCTTCACACAATTACAGCAATATCTGAGAACCTTCCCACAATTACAGCAATACTTCAGAACCTTCACACAACTACAGCAATATCTGAGAACCTTCACACAATTACAGCAATATCTGAGAACCTTCCCACAATTACAGAAATATCTGAGAACCTTCCCACAATTACAACAATATCTGAGAACCTTCCCACAATTACAGCAATATCTCAGAACCTTCACACAATTACAGTAATATATGAGAACCTTCCCACAATTACAGAAATATCTGAGAACCTTCCCACAATTACAACAATATCTGAGAACCTTCCCACAATTACAGCAATATCTGAGAACCTTCACACAATTACAGCAATATCTGAGAACCTTTCCCACAATTACAGCAATACTTCAGAAGAAAAGGTGGATCCAAAATTAGAATTCTAATGTGAACAAATATGTGTCACAACGTGGTGGAATCAGGCGCTCATCAATTTTGGGGAATATGGAGTTATTGGTATCATCTGAAAGCTGATTTATTTGCCTTGCGTCCAATGAAATAAATATCCATCTATCTTGAATAGAACTCGAGATATTTGCGATTGAAGCAAGTAAGGTCGTCTGGTTTCAGTGGTGAGAATAGCGAGAAAATGGCCGCCAAAGTTTTGTAACTTCAATGGCTAAAGAGTCCTTGAAAACAGGAAAATGACATATTTTGTGCCTTTAATCAGTATTTTTCAGTAAAATTCACATGGAAATGTGTTTTTGTTTTAGTAAGTGAATTACGGCACTTGCAACACAATAAGGTCATATAAGTGCCAAAGATTAGAGGTGTTACAAGAGAGTAACATACACAAAAAAGAAGGAAGGGAGATAAAGACGATCGATGTTTGATAGGAAAGAAGGAGCAAACCACACCAGAGCACCCTCCAACCACCCACTCACATTAACCATTCAGACAGAAACAACAGAGAGAAAGAAAACAAGGGCCAACAAGAGGCACCCTTTAACCACTCACAAAACTGTTATTTCTCTACATGCATTACAAG